CAAACACGGTCTACACTTGCACGCCTCCTCGTTGGCCTTTATCCAATCCAGTCTAGCGGCGCACGATCTGTTGGACAAGCCTGAAGAGTGGAGCGAGGCTCTTGAAGCTCTTGCGAAGGGTGTGGATGAAGTGTCGGATATGCATATGCATCTTCACGTGGCTGCTACTGCTACTGCTACTGCTACTGCTGCCCACCCTTCCTCCTCCTTCTCCTCTTCGGTCGTCACGCCCGAGATATTGGAAGCGGTGTATGAGAGATTGGTGCTGGCGGACTCGGTGACGGATGCTAGCAATGCCGCTCATCATCACGCGCACACCATGATGAATGGACATGGCGCACACGATCTCGTAGCTGGTGAGGTTGCAGATCCTCAAAGGCATTTCCACATCATCGATGCTTTTCAGATGCCGCGATGGAGTTGGTCTCATTCTCGTTGGGAAAAGTAAGTCGTGATTGTGGCGGAGGCGCACACAGCTTGCAGCCTGGTGGATGGTGTTGCTTTTGCTTGCTTGCGAAGTACTCAATTCGAGTCGCTTCTCTTACCCCTTTCTCTCTCTTTCTTCGCCCCTCGCAAACTCAGACAAGCCAAGGGGACGCTCTTGCCGCCAGCTACGGCCAAACCGATGCACTTGGCTCAAAGACTGGCCATCATTCGTTCGGCGGTGGAGCGGAATAGCAACTTTATGCCTCCGCTAGCCATCGGTGGTGCGGTGGAGAGGCAGCGCTTCATGAAGGTACGTCGTCCTCCCCCTCCTCCTCCTCCTCATCTCTCCCAAGGTGCAGCGTTGCATGCAGCTCACTGACAAGATGCATCAACCGGCACAGCTCACAAGCACCAAGAATCTGCTGGGGCGTCCAGGTCAGCGCTTTCTTTTGTTTGGTATGCTTTCCACCACCGAGGATGGCAGATACGCTTTGGAAGATGCGGATGGTGTCGTAGGCTTGGACTTGCAAGATGCTGTGAGCGCAACTCACTCTTCTCTGATGGCCCCGCATTCCTTCCATCGCCTGCTGACGTAACCCGCGCTGTCGCGCTTTGCTTCTCAGGTGCCTGGCGAAGGTATCTTTACGGAAGGTAGCTTCATCCTGGTAGAGGGTGAATACACGCAAGAGGAGAGAATCAGAGCAGCAGCTATCGGCCATCCACCTGGAGAGTCGCGCAAAGCTGCTAGGAAATTATGGTCAGACACTGATTTCAACGGGACGGGTGCGATCAGTCTGAACGAAGAGGTGCGTGCGCGCGAGGAGCAAGTATGTTTGCTTGATTTCTTGCAGCTCAAAACGCTTGTTGACTCGATGGTCGATGCTTGCTTGCTTGCTTGCTTGCTTGCTTGCTTGCTTGCTTGCTTGCTTGCTTGCTTGCTTGATTGCTTGCTTGCTTGCTTGCTTGCTTGCTTGCTTGCTTGCTTGCTTGCTTGCTTGCTTTCCTCAAAGCAGTCCCTGCTCAAAGTGCACGAACAACGCAACGACGATGTGTGCATGATCTTCATCTCCGAATTCCACTTGGATCACCACAAGACGATGGCTAGCTTTAGGGCCATGCTGCAAGGCTTTGTGGATGCTCAATTCATCCCCTTTGCCTTTGTGCTGTGCGGCAACTTTTTGAGCGCACCGCATCAAGGAGGCGACACTGTGCGGCTGTATCAAGGTGCGCCCTGCCTGGCGTCTGCGCACAGCTGGGGGAGATTATGGACCGCACTTACTGCTGACTGCTATTCTCCGCGCGCATTTCTCCACTCTTACAGATGCTTTCGCACAGCTGGGAGATCTCCTGCTATCCTATCCTTCCATCCTAACACGATCCCGCTTCATCTTCGTACCAGGTCCATCCGATCCCTTTCCCACTCCTCTCCTTCCACGTCCAGCCCTACCTGCCATCATCACCTCCAAACTCCTCTCCAAGATTTCCACCTCCAACTCGGGAACGGTGGCTAGCAGCGCGAACAGGTTTCGCTTTGTCAGCAATCCGGCCAGATTGCAATACTTTGGACAGGAGATTGTGGTTTGTAGGGACGATTTGATGAGTAGGATGCTTAGGAATACGGTCAGGTTGAAGGATGGCGAACGTGGTGCAAGAGAGGTGGATCTGAAGAAATACGTGAGTAAAAGAAAGCTCGACGGCGGGGGAGGGAGGGGACTGTACGATCGCTTGCTTGCTTGCTCGGATGTGCATTCCCTTACCCCCGGGGCGACTGACGAAGAAAGCTCGCAACGCCGCGCCTTCACGCTTTTCGTTTCTTTTTTTGGCTTACTTTGGGTTTTACCACAGCTCGTATCTACCATCTTGGATCAAGCCCATTTGTGCCCACTTCCTCAACAATCTCGACCCGTGCTGTGGGAGCACGATCATGCTCTGCGTCTCTATCCCATGCCAACAGCCGTGCGTAGTGCCCATCAGCGAACGAGGTAGCCGGACCGACCCAAATCTGACCAGCCCCGCCGCTCGATGCCCCCCTTTTTCTTTCTTGATCTTCCTCTCTCTCTCTTTCTCTCTTTTCCCTGTTCCGCCCCCTTCCTCGGCTTGCGCCATGCAGCTCGTCTTGGCCGACAAGTTTGATAGGTACGAATTGACGTACGAAGGTTGTCATGTTTTCAATCCTTCTAGCTTTAGAGGAAGCAGCTTTGGATGGACCACTTATTATCCTGCGACGGGAAGAGCAGAGAGGAGCGAGTTGCCTCGGGCCTGACGAGGCTGCTTTCCGTTGCGAGTGCTGCGGCGTCATGCACTCGGTCATATGGCCAAGGGTGGTATACATTGGCCCATAGCGAGGGCGACCCTTGTGGAAGCGAGGGTTTAAAGCACCCCCCTCCTTGCCAAACCAACAACGTGGACAAAGTTGTATTTGCCAAGCGGCATCTCGATCACAGGAACGAAACCAGAGCGCGAACTGGAGGATTGCATTGTCATTTGCCCATGTCATTGACATTGACCACCCTTCAGAAGGAACAAATAGAATGGCCAGCAGCGCCCGCCCGCCGGATCTACAAGTGCATCTCGCGAGTCTGTTTGAGCTCTTGGACATTTTGCACGGCATGAACCTCTTCCCATTCCTTTTTCACGTCGTTTGCACGATCATCCCCGCTCCTCCAGCACCTCTTCCAAACGAGCCTGTAGCTCTGAGGCGTGGGTGTGAGACCTCTGGCTTTTGCCTCTTCCAACCAATCCAACGCTTCGTCGATCGCAGCATCATCTATCCTAGTCGTGACCAGGCTGATCATTCTCTGATACGTCGCCTCGTCACCGCGTACAAGAGGTCTTTGACACGACATGTCCCTCAACAAGCTTCTTCCTAGATCCGCATCTCGCGTATCTATGCACACATCCAACAGGGAGTGATAGCATGCTAGATCGGCAGAGACGTTCACTTGGCTCCGAACGTGCTCCACCTCCGCGTGGATCGGTGGCCAGTCTTGTCCCGCACCTCCTTCAGGAATGGCAGGGGGCAGAGCGTAAAACTTGTTCTTGTTCGAACTGCTCGTCTGTGCGCTCTCATCGAGCTGCGTATGCGTCTTGCTCCTCGTCCAAGTGGCGTCGCCCAGCGCAGCAGCATCGGGCGCAGAAGCAGAAGCACCAACGAATCGACCTCGCGCTCTTCGTACATGTCGTCGCTCGTGATAAACGCTCCAAGCTTCCTGATACATTTGCAGCCTCCTAGCGCTCTCGATCAGCACAAAGAGCCCAGCAGTGGTGCTTCCTCCGCAATCGCCTTGCCTCACTTGAGCTCGACCCTGCTCAATCCATGCGGAGTGAGCTTGCGCCCACGCTTCGGGTGTAGAGATGAGCTTGATGAGCGCAAGTAGCTCGACCGGCTTTGGTCCAGCATACGAGAGGTGATTGAATCGAGCCAGCGTAGCAAAAGCAGCGTGAAAGTCGTACGTCGCTTTGGGCGCATTTCGCCGGTCCAACGAATCATCGCCGACATCGACCTGCTCTCGGATGGCAGCATGAGAATGAGCAAGGAACAGCCAAAGGAGATGATTCTCGCTGATGGTCTCTAGTAGTTTGTGCCTTTCTGCTGGAAGGGAAAGCTTGCCTTCGTGCTGATGCTCGTTGATGACCGTCTCGATGAGCGTTGCGTCACCCGCTCGAGCACACGTGGACATCACCTGCTGCACCAGACCGCCTTCCAATCCGTGCCTGCCCTCCGTGACAAGCCTCTGGTACGTCCACTGGACGCCAGGGTACTGGTACACAAAGAGTCAGAGAAGAAAGTTCAGCAGCGAGAAAAGCGCGTATTGTTGGACCATCCATCGACTCACCCAACCGTGTCTGGCAGAGCACCTCAGCACTCTAAATAATCCCGCGTCATCTGCTTTTCTTCCCGTGATGGCAAACAACCACTTTGCGAGCTCGCTAGCCAAGCGTGGTAGCTCGTGATTGCAAATCAAGAAGAGGATGCTGGATTGAGTCTTTGGTGTCAGCACCGTCCTTTGAAAGGCTGCTGGCAAAGCTCCAAGAATGCTGAGCATCAATTCCAGGTTGGTGGTGTGTATGCTATGGGTCAAGAGGATGGTGTAGACGCCCGGTGTCCAATGACGAGTGTACCACCTCGAAAGCAATGGGCCGATCGAGGAAGTTGCTGTCTCCCTTTCATCCTCGTACCGCATTGCGCCCTCTCGATCTCGTATCTGGGCAAATCGATCCAATACCCCTCGCACCTCACGCTCGCCCGCCTGGTGATTGATGGCGGCGATGAGCAGCATGGTCAAGCTCCTTATAGAAGCTGGATAGTAGCTCCGCATATCGTCGTGCACTGCAAGAGCCACATGAAATGGTACGTGCCTCATAAGGTGCAAGAAGACTTGAAGTGGTGGTTTGGGTGCTGATGACTGCACAGCTGCCGCATCACCTTCACCACCGCCACCATCAGCAATCTGCTGCTGCTGCTGCTGCTGCTGCTGCTGCAAAGCTTGTGCGCGTCTCCTCATCTCTTCTGCAGTCTTGAACATCATGGTCCACGCTCGATTGTTGGAATGCTTGTGCAGGTCCGAAGCCAGAATCTTGAGCTCTTGCGTTGCGTAGGTCCCATGGCCCGCCTGCTCCGCTTCTACGCGGGCGCTCGCACCCTTGCTGCCACCCTTGCCGCCGCCACCGCCGCTGTCCTCTCGACGTGCTGCAGCGCGCTCCTTGTCGTGGCGTCGAACATTGGCCCAGTGTACGGAGTTGGAGGGTGTAGTGCTTGATGATGCATACGCTGCCTCATCTTGACCGCTCGCGCTAAAGAGAGGAATGGAGTTGCTGGGGGAAGGTCTGAAGCGCGATGTCTGGTAGAGTCTTGGTTTGTGGCTGTTCGCAAGCTGGCCCTGCTGCTGCGCCTTGGTGCGACCAGACTCTTGCATCTCCTCCTCCTCCTCTGCCGTTTTCGAAGCGCTGGTCGACACCCTTCGCTTGGCATTCATGCTCGACCATCTTTGCTCCTCTGTCTTGGCGTACTCATCAGATCGAAGTGATCGTCTATGAGCCACCAACGACAGGCTCCTCGGTCGTGCTGCTTGCTGTGCACGTGGGCAACGGCACACGATGCGGATGACGCCCCTCGAGCTGGATGGCGCGATGGTGAGCATTTTCTCTGCAAGGGATGAGTCTTGTGACTCCTTCACGCCCACCTCCACGTCGTCGTCGTCGTCGTCGTCGTCGTCGTCGCTCTGCGTCGAGGTCGTGCCTGATATTGGTCACCAACTCGTCTCTCATCCGCTACCTTTGCCTGCCCATCTTTGCGAAGAGGTTGCAACACAAGACACCCAAAAATTGAGGGATCAGAGACACATCACGTGACATGATCTCGGCGCCCTCACTCACGTGACTTGTGGCCCAGCTCGGCCCGTGCGTTGTGCGTCACGAGCGCGTTGTCTTGGGGACGCGCGTTCGGTGGAGATTGCGGCTTGCCAGGACGAGATCGCTTACCGGTACACTTTTGACTGCACGGCGACGACCAACTCTCGAGCATGCTGTGCCCCAGCTCTACCACATCTCTCCCACACTCGCGTCTGCATCACCTCACACAATTCAAGCGCACTCTTTCCAGTCCTTTGAAAGAGAAGCGCACCGATCGAGCACTCGACGCCTACCCTCTGTTTGGCGCAAAGCATTTCAAGATGGAAGCCTGCCTCTCCACTTTTTCGTCCTCACATGCCGAAGCCGGCTTGGCGCTAGGTGGAGGAGTGAAGGATGAGGAGTCATACGGCATGGGATCAAGTGGAGTCAATAGCTTTGCGCTTCCTGCCAGCGATGTGAGTATCGTGCAGCGAAATGATCTTCAGCTTCATCCTACTGATTTGATGTGAGCTCGAAATGCGTGGCCAATCGCAGCCCGCGAGGTTTTTGTCCGCATATACCGATGTGGACTCTACCAATCCTCAAGCTAGAATCAAATTGAACCACGGTACCACCACGCTCGCCTTCCGCTTCAAGGGAGGCATCATCGTAGCTGTCGACAGTCGAGCTACGGCAGGCAGGTGAGTCTTGTCCCTTCCTCTCGTCTTTCCACTCCAATCTTTGTCGAGGTGTGCTGATCCGTCGACATTGTGCTGCTTATACTTGGCCAGCTACATTGCATCTGGTACAGTCAAGAAGGTGATCGAGATAAATCCTTACTTGTTGGGCACCATGGCCGGTGGAGCTGCAGGTAGGTCTCCGCTGCCCTTCCTTCCCAGATGATGGCAAGGCAATGCTACTGATGCACCACTCTTGTCCGTTGCCCGCCTCCCCCCTTTGCACACTCAGACTGTCAGTACTGGGAGACGTACCTGGGCATTCAGTGCAGGTTACACGAATTGAGAAACAAGGAGAGAATCAGCGTAGCTGCCGCTTCCAAGTACCTGTCTAACCTGGTGTATGGCTACAAAGGCATGGGTTTGAGTATGGGCACGATGATCTGCGGTTGGGACAAGACAGTGAGTGGATCATTCCCACTCATGCGCCTCTAGCTGAATCGCACTGACTTCATGCGCGATCCTCGTGCACACACGCACAGGGGCCTGCTCTTTTCTACGTCGACTCTGAGGGCTCTCGTTTGAAGGGAGACGTATTCTCGGTAGGGTCAGGCAGCACGTTTGCATACGGTGTATTGGATCAGCTATACAGGTGGGATTTGGAGGATGACGAAGCTCAAGAGTTGGGCAGGAGGAGCATCTATGCTGCTGCTCATAGAGGTGAGCCTCTTTGTTCCCTTGCTCGCATCGCGCGCGGTGTATTCTCGTGCGAGGGGCTCGACGTGGTCTGATCCAACTCACTCTGTCCCCTCTTGCTCTTCTCGCCTCGTAGATGCCTACTCGGGCAACAGCATCAACCTGTACCACGTGCGAGAGAATGGCTGGGAGTTTATCGCAAACTACGACGCGACCAAGCGTGAGTGTGGGGGAATGAATGCGAGTTGCTTTGCCGTCCTGCACTTACCCTGCCCAATCTTTTGCTTCCTAGTGCACTACGATGGCCCAGGGGATGTGCCAGGCGCGCCAGGTGGAGGTTATGGCTGGGCGGTGAGGACGGATGGACTCTCTTCGGAGCTGAAACCTACTGCTGAGCAAGAACAAGCTGGCGATGTGGCTGGACATGCGGGCAGCAGAGCTACGGAACAACCACTCGAGGCTCAGATCAGACCTGGTCAAGCCTAGTCTGGACGGCGGCGCGGCGCGGCGCGCTCATGGCAGAGAGGAAAAAGTGTGCGCCGCTAAGCATTTAGCTCTCGAAATGCGATGCGAATCCATATTCCTAGTATTGGGCTAGTCGGCGCGTGTGTTGGACGTTGGTGAGAAACAAAGCTGTGCGCTCGCATGGGACCACGTGCAACTCGATACATTTTGACAACAGTGTGACTGTAGCACGTCGCTTTTTGCGGTGGCGGCGAGGGGCACATTTCTCAACATGTGTGACGAAGAGTGCGCCGCAAAGGACGTTTTGTGAATGGAGCAATCTTACCAATAACAAAAGGGAAGGGAAAAAATGGCACACATTCCGATCGATCGAGCGTCGTGCAGGAATCATTTTCTCTTTGTGACGCGGGTAAAAAGGTTCAAAAGATGCTGCGCTTGCATATCGGGGGGCGGATTGGGGGGTTGGGGGCGTGTGAAAGGAGCAAGATTCAACATGAGAGAAGGGAGAAATGGGCGCCGCTGTCTAGACCTCCTCTGGGGGATTCGGTTCGGATCGAAGGGGCCCAAGGAGCGCTGGGAAAGTGGTTGGAAGGATGCGGGCGTGGGTGCAAGCTTGACGAAAAGGGTCCCACAAAAAAAAAAAGAAAAAAAAAAAACAACAACTGCGCTTTGCGTTCGTTCGCGACGAAGTTGCCGGGGGGGCTGCAACATCGACGAGAGAGAGAGAGAGCTTCTCTTCTTCAGCACAATGCCGGAAAGTTCTTTTTTGTCCTAGCTACAATCTTCTTTACATCTTGAGCACGCGCCCTCGTCGTGATCAGCAGCGCATCTTCGCAATCCACCACCACCACATCGTCCACTCCCAAGCAGGCAATCTGAACGTTTGACGTTTGGGGCAAAAGCAAGGGAAAAGACATTCTTCAGTTTTAAGAAACTTTGCACACCGCCATGACGTCCGACCGACTCGAATCGCAAATGGGGGGGCAGGGGACGCACCGTTCTTCCACTGGCTGGCACAATGATGCCACCGGCTTGATTTTCCGTAATGACCAACTTTTGATCTCCCAGCACTCTAGCTTCTCCCTTTTCAGCAGGTAAAAGATCCGCCAAGGATGAAAAGTCTCCCACATCGTCCCAACCAAAGGTGGCCGGTACGACTGCTACTCTACCAGCCTTGGCAGCCGGCTCAGCAATAGCGTGATCGATTGCGATCTTGTCCAACGTGGGCCACACTCGGCCAAGCACTTCCATCCTCGAAGACGTCTCCCACGCATTCGCAATCTCCATCAGACCAGAGTGCAGAGCAGGCATGCTGCTGCTCAACAATTCCAGCAGAATCTTGGCCTTGACCACAAACATTCCTCCATTCCACCTGTAATCTCCCGTGCTCAAGTACGCGCTAGCAGTTCTTGCATCCGGCTTCTCCTTGAACTCCGTCACCCTTCTGGCATTGGGAGCCTTGGCAGGGTCCAACTTGCTGGATCCCTCGGCCGTATAAGGTCCTTCGCTAGTCTGCGGATCCACAAATCTCGTCTTTTGAGCCAGCAATTCGCCGAGCTTGATGTAACCGAAGCCTGTAGAAGGGTAGCTTGGCGCGATACCGATGGTGACGAGATATCCAGCATTCGCAACGACCACTGCTTCCTTCACCGCGCTCTCAAACGCATCTCTGCCAGAGATGATGTGATCCGCTGCGAAACTGCCCAGCACGGCATCCGGATCTCTTCGAGCTAGAACAGCAGCTGCTAAACCGATGGCAGCCATGCTCTCCTTTGGGCTCGGCTCAGCCAACACATTGTCCGGCAAGAGTTCGGGCAATTGATCCGACACTCCTCCAACGTGGGCCGTTCCTGTAACGATGATCATCCTGTCCGCTCCTGCCAACGGTAACAACCTGTCCCACGTAGATTGAAGCAGCGTTCTGCCTCTTCCCACCAAATCCAGCAAGAATTTGGGATAGCTCTCTCGGGACAATGGCCACAGACGCGTACCTGCTCCACCGGCCGGCACGACGCACCACAATCCCAGATCGGGCGGTGTGGCGAGCAGAGGAGCAGGTTGGGATAGAGCGTTGGAAGAGCGTGCGAGGGCATTGACGTGCGCTGGCGCATTCCCGCTGCTCGTCTTGTCGGGCGAAGAAGGTCGAGATCTGCTCTCTCCTCCCTTGAACGAGCGCGTGGAGATGGCTCGTGCGAGCGCGTGAGGCCTCATGGCAGGTGACGCAGCTGGAGACCCGTTTCGCTCCATGTCGTCCATTCGAACATGCAATCGAGCAATCTGTAAACGCAAGCAACGCGAGACAAAGAGCAAAGCTGAAACTTTAGCTCGGAGCAGCAAGAACAAGCTACACGCGCCCTCTCTTCCGCCTCACCTCCTTTTGCAAATCGCCCATACCCGCCAAGATCAGACTCAAAGGATCCTGGGCGCTGCTTGCAGGAGCAGGAGCCTGAGCCTGGGCGAGCTGCTGCTCCGAGCGAGCTTCCGCATGTCCATTGCTAGCGTTCGCATCCAAAGGTTTGAGCAGATTGCCGAGTCCCAATGCGGATTCGTTTTGCGTCATTTCGTCGGCTATGGAAATGAGCGGTGCGGGAAGGGGAGAAGGGGTGGGAGAAAGGGTGGGAGTAGAGGGTGGAAAGGCGATGGGAGAGGCTTGCCTCAGGAAGGGCAGATGAGGTGGAGGATTGGCTCTCTTCATGATGCGTCGAATGTCGACAAGGGGGGGAGAGCGACAATGATGTAGAGCAGGGCAGAAGAAGGGAGAATATAGAAGAGGAGGGGGGGGCGGGGGAAACAGATTTGGGGGGTCAGTAGCGGGAAGGAAGAAGTTTGGAGAGCGCATACACGCTGCTTATACCAGCAAGACTTTTGCCGCGCGCGATGGACTCATCAGCGATCCATGCATTCGCGATTGTGATTTGCTTCACAGCCGCCCGTCCTTCCTGTACGTGCGACCATCACCCATGCCTCGCGCCGTCTCCGTCTGCGATCGGCAGCGGATACAGGGAGGGGCGCCATGCTGCCCTCCCCCATTCATTCAGGACACTGTGATGACTGCAGCCCACAAGACTGTACGCCAGCCGGCCGGCCAGACTCTCATCTGCGGCACGCAAGGGCCGCTGCCATGGCTGATGACGGCGGGTGCTGCTGATGAGCGCGACTCGATCGCGACTCGATCGCAAGTCGATCCCGGTTGTCTCGCTCCATCCATCCAGCAGCAAGGCGCAGCGCAGCGCGTACGACGTGCCGCGGACCGCTTATATTGCGATGGCTGAAGCGCTGCGCTGCGCTGCGCTGCGCCGCGCCGCGGAGAGCGCCAGCTTGAAACACTCGGACTCGGATCGATCGCATACAGGATTGGCGATGCTGCATCATATGCAGCAGAAGCGACTTTGACTGTGATTCCGATCGATCCGAGCCCAGCTAGCAAACGGGCACCTTTCGCTCTTTCTCGTGCGGCAAGCGGCGATCATTCGGGGCCCGGGCCCCCAAAGCAGCATCCAGCGACAAGCATGCTCACCTGACAAACGAGCGAATGAACGGATGACCGCGGGCGCGGGGGCAAGACGGTCTGCGTGCGAGGGGCTTGCAATTCGAAGTTGTTGGCTGTGAGGATTGTTCGATCTTGCAAGACGAAAGAGGGAAGGGGGCGGCGAGTTGAATAGGAAGGTACAAAGACAAAGTGTTAGTCACGACTCTGACTGCCGTTGTTCCTGCAAGCTTGAATGGCATCAACAAATGTGAAAGGCGCCCATTGTGAGTGTGAGTGTGAGGGAGGAGTGTCTTGTATATATATATGTGTGTGCTAGCTCGCACACGCGCCATCCATCGCAAGCGTCCGAACTGCGTGTCATGTGTGCTTCGTGAAAGTCAGCTAGCTAGCTATAGCGCTTGCTTGGTTGCTTGCTTGCTTGGTGCGCGCAATGAAGAAGCGCTATTCTAGCTCCACACTCGCATGGCATGCGCATGCGCGAGCGTCGGGGATGTGCATGTGCATGTGGACCCGGCCTTGATGGACAGACAGACAGCAGCGCGGTGCGGGTGCATGCATGCATGCGACTTGCATACACAAGCCCGACGCCGGACGTGCTGGATGGAAAGTGTGAGTGTTTGGCTGCATGCGGTGAGTCTGTCTGGGTCTGAGTGCAGGTCGGAGTAGAGTAGATGGGGTGAGCGAGTGAGTTGCCTTGTAGCTTGATCCCGCCTATAGATCACGCTAGTGCGCACGCACGCCCATCGGCCAGACCCGCCCCGCCCCGCCCCGCCCTGCCTTGCCCCGCCTTATCCATCTCTCCTCACCCTTGCGGGGTTCTGTAGGAGGCATGTGCGTGTGATGGCGGGAGGGGCGCAGGAGGTGCGTGTGTCCCATGATGTTCGAGCGCAATCCTGAGCCCGCGTCCATGCAGCCCAGCGGAGTGTGTGAATGTGAATGTGAATGTAATGTGATGCTTGGGCTTGGGCTTGTGAGGGAGCATGAACGAGTGAATCGTGTAGATTGCGAATGTACAGTCGTGAGTGTAAAAGGGAGGGGGGCTCAGTCGCATCGTGAGTCTTGAGTGGTGCGTGCGTGCGTGCGTGCGTGCGCGGATCGCAAGGCGAGCAAGCAATTGAATGGCAAGCCAAGCCACACACACGGGAGGAATGCGCGCGCGGGAAGCGTGCGTGCGTGCGTGCGTGCGTACCGGTATGTAGGGTTAGCAATCGTGGCTGACACAATCTTTGAAGATGCGGCATTCAAGATCCATGCAATCCATCCGGCCAGGCTGGCCCGCCCAGACGCACGCGTATAGCCAACGGGCTGCAGCAATTGAGTTTGAGTGACAAGAGTCGTGAGTCGTGAGTCGTGAGTCGTGAGTCGTGGAGTTGTGAGTCCTTTCCTATCTTGAGCACCCAGTCTGGCTGCCCCCACCCCACCCCCATGTCAGGTGCCTCAATCCATCATCCCACGTCCAAGGCCGTCTGGCAAGTTTAGGGGGGGAAAATATATGTCGGAGTTTGAAAGGGCGGGTCGGAAGAGCTGTCACGAGATGGAGGAGCGCCACGATGTGGATGTAGGCCGGGCCGGGCCGGGCCGACGCAATGCAGCCAGCGGGCATCCATCACGAGGCTCGGGAGTTTTCGAATCCTTGGGCAAAATCGCCAGACTAGTCAGGAATCTGGAAGCGGGTGGGTGGGGGCGGCTGTGCAAGTTTGCGACGAGCGTGGCCAAATGGCTGATTCGCGGTTTGCGGGGCACTCGATTCGATTCGATGAGGTCAATCTCATCGACATCTTTTGCCTCGCTTGCACGTAATCGGCCTGTTTGCGATCAATACGCGGCGCTGATGGTCGCGCCATGCAGCAACTGCAATCACGATCGTGAATGCCGGACGCCCCCGTCGCTCACACGTGCGTGCACGACCCCGCCGCAGGCAGCCTTGGGGGATCGTCTCTCGATCGACACTTTCCTCCCTCACGAATCGCGAGCGAGTCTGAATGAATCTTCGGGGCGCAAATAAAATTGTAGGAAAATTTTCCACGCGCGCGTGTTCCCACGAATGCGTAATTGTGACGACCGTTCCTATCGATGGACTCAAAGTGACGATGGCCAGTCAAGTCACGAGTGAGCATGCTCGGGCAAGCTGGAAGCATATACGGGGGAAAGTTGTTTTGCGTTGCTTTGTCCACATCACACAAATGACAACCGAACAAAGCACGCATCTCGAGGTGCTCCTTGTGCATGTTGACAACGATGCGCTCTTGAATGATGAGCGCACAAGAATTGTCGCAGGTGTGATCGTCTCAAACGGTGTCTTGACACTTGTTCAAGTGGATCTGCAAGGATGTTCGACGGCGATACGCAACGACACGAGCCGTGCACCCAATCGTCAAATGTCTCCGCAACTGCTCCATCCAGCCTTTCCTTTCCCACCTTAACCCCCCTCGATTACATTTCCATCATAGCGCTGACCATCTCGATGCGAAAATAGTTGGCATTGGTGACACGAGTCGGAGAGATGTGCATGAGATGAACAAGTGCAAAGTATAAAGGGGAAAAAAAAGACCGGACGATGCGTCTGTTTTGCCTGCACGGTGCAAACGCCGCTGACCAAGAGTGCGTGGGGGAAAAAGTCCAAGTCGTGCGCGTGAAGCGTGACATTTTTGCCGGGGGGGGGCCATGCAAAGCCGATCGAGCATCAAGTAGGAGGAGCAGCGACGACGAATTTTTCGAGCAATTTTTGTCGCTTGGGCGTATCGGCGAACAGAGCTCTGACGAGCTTGGCGAGTTCGCGAGGCGAATAATCCACCAGAGCTGCCGCTTCGCTGTACAGGAAATCAATGTCTGCCAAGGAACCCGTGAGGATCTCGCAGAGGTAGGAGCACTTGAACCAGCTGGGCACAAAGAGCGCTACCGCTGTTTGCTCGGTCTGTGCATACAGAGGCACAGGCAGGAATGCGCAAGAAACGTCAGCAGGAGGGATAAATAGGCACGAGATGAAATGTGCGTATAGCCTGCGTGCGGCTCGAGAGACTCACCCCGCTCCTCGGATCGACGAAAAGGTCTTCGAGCGGTGCGAGCAGCTTGACAGCCTCTGCGATCCTTTCGCTTTCCTTTTCCGAAATGTCTTCCAGATCTTCCACCTCTCTGAGCACCCTGGAAAGGACATGTTCCACCAGCGCACCAAGTGCCGACATTCGGTTGGGCGCCAGCAACACGTCTTTCCAAGCGGCATTCAAATTTTGCAGCTCCGTCACGCAAGCCCTGATGGATCTTTCAACAGCAGCGCAACGTCCTGCATCGCTCGTGCCCACAAAGCTATCCGCCCCATCCAATAGAGCGTCCAAAGAGGAGATTTGCATCGCAACGTGCGCAGCAAATGTGTGCTGACCCAACATCGCCGTAGCTTTGGCAGTCGATGCCAGCTCCAACTTGGTCTGGGCGAATGCAGACTTTGATGATGCAGCTGCGATGCTCGACCACTCTTCTTGCAAGCGCAGAGCTGCGCGAGACAGGTAGGAGCAGTCGTTCAAAAACTGAGCAGCCAGCGCAGAGATCTGCAGAGCCGCTTCGTGCGCCGACGGTACGACGGCTCGGTACAGATCAAAGACGTCACGGATGCTGTTGAGCAAGACTTGAGGGTCGGGCGAAGCATCGTCTGCCTGCTTGGCGTCTGATCCGTCCGCAGCACCTTCACCGTGCGTCGCTGCATGCTTCAACAGCTCCTTTGCATCGGCCAAGATGTTTTCAGCGAGCGTAACCAGCAGCCGAGTGCGTTGAGAGATGAGCATCTTTGGACGTGCAATGGGAGGCCGCGTCGACTCCTGCGCCAGCTCAGCCGCACCAGGTCTGCTGGTCGCTGGCGAAGCGCTACGGTTCGAAGAGCGCGAGTCGGGTCTAGCACGCGCAGATCCAGAAGGTGTGACACTGCGCGAAGCACCGGCATTGCTGGCATTCCTCAACGTCGCCTGTCTCAGCTGCGGAGAGGGCGCTGCGCCCGTCAAAGGCACAGGCGAGGCAGATCGTCCACCCGGCGTTGAAGCAGCGGCAAAAGATCGAAGCGCCGTCCTTGAAGGACCGCCGCGAGAGGCAGACACGGATTTGGGCGCATGCGGAAGAGCAATCCTCTCGGCTCGTGCGGGGGGCGAAATCAGGTCTGGATCGGGAGCCGGTGCATCCTCCTCATTCCATTCCCAGGCTCTGATCTCTTCCTTGCCCTTGCTGGACGATAGTGCTTGGGAGTGCATCTTGCTTTCCTCCTCTTGCACGTCAGCCGATTTGTCGACTCCCAATGACTCTTCCCACGCATCAAAGCCATCATCGTCCTTATCCTCGAGGCGAGCGCTTGGCGTCGACAGCGCCGGGGCAGGAGGCACGATGGGCGTCGACACGCGACTAGGCCTGTCGTCAAGCAGAGGTTCGTCCCTCATCCGCGTCGGGGTAGAGGGTGGCAACGCAGCGTCCGAGCTGACCGAGCCGATCGTCGAAGTCCTCGAGAGCGATAGGTCAGCCTCGATGTCAGCCGGCGAGCTCATTGATGGTAGGGCGCGCGAGCTCGTGAGAGGCTGCGCAGAGCCTCCGACGGCCGGAGCTTCGGCTTGCACAGGTATTGCTGGAGGTGCAGAATACGTCGCCTGTGCGGCCTCATGCAAACCAGGCGCGCTTGGCGCACGCAGCTTGGGCGTGCCTGGCAGTGCCTCTTCCGACGCCGCTGACACAGAAGGCGCGGGCGAGAGCGCGGCCGCAGGCTGCGTAGCCCGACTGATCGACTCGGAGCTCAGCGCATCGGTAGCTTGCGCTGGAATTCCGGTTCCAAAGGAAAGCATGCTAGCGCGCTTAGCAGCTCTGATCGCTTGTTCCTCCGTCGAAAGGCCCCACGCGTCTTCCTCATCCTCTTCATCTTCATCCACACCTGTTGTGAGCCCCGCATTCACATCTTTGCTGCTCTCGTCTGCAGGTTGCGAGACCTTCGCATCCGCCGGCTCAGTGCCGACCTGCGCGAGTCGAGCTGCTTGTGCTTGCGTTGGTGCCTGGGCGAAAAGCGCACTGGCCCTCTTGGCTGCCCGAACAGCTTGCTCTTCAGATGATAGTCCCCATGCGTCTTCGTACTCATCCTCCGGTGCATCATTGTCGGTAGGCGACGCAGTGCTCTGTGGAGGAGCAGCAGCCGTGAAAGATTCCGACATGCGAGGCCGGGGGGAAAGACGCAGTGCACTGGGCGCCTCCAGATCTCCCCAGGCGTGCTCCTCACCCGCATGCTCATCAGATTTTCGTGTCATGTCTTGCTGGAACGGTGATGGGACCTCTGTCTGCTCTCTCGCACGCTCGACGGGCGGCAAGATCATGCTAGCCCTTTTTCTCGCCGCAACCTGTTCTTTTTCCTGATCCGTGAGACCCCAAGCCTCCTCGTCTATCTCCTCTTCCAGATCCATGCTCGGCATCGCCGAGGGATCCGAGTGCGCAGAAGCGAGCGCATTGTCAGCGTCTTGCGCAGGTCGAGATGATGATGATCCTGGCGCCTCGTCGGCGAACCAGGCATCGTCCGCATCTTCAAGAGGCTGGAAAGGCGTAGAGGACACCGCGTGTGCATTCTCAGCCTGTCCGCTTGCTCCATTCTCATCCACGTCCTCATCGAATCCCCACGCATCCTGATCCTGCGCGACATTCAGAGGCGCTTGCGAATCTTGCGGAAGAGGTCCAGAGCCGAGCTGATCCGAAGGTCTGACGACTCGCACACCTCCCAGCGTCTTCTTTTTCGTCGTGCTAGTGCTTATGCTCGTGCCCACGTCTCTAGCTCGCGGCGTAGCTTTGGCGCGTTGTGCTACTCCTTTCGTTTCCTGCCCACGTCTCTCTTCATCCGCATCGCCATCCCAGCCCCACGCATCTTCATCCACTTGTTCCTCGCCCACGTTGCGCTCAGACCCGTTCTGTTCCCCTTCCAGACCCACGGCGGCCTCCACTTCCCCCTCTTCGCTCTTCGCGTGACTCGTCGCCGTCAGATCCTGCAGGTGCGCCTCGACAGGCACACCTTCCCAACCCTCCTTGTCCATCAACGCCGCGATCCTAGCGCTCTGCAGGTTGCGCTCGACCAATCTACGCGCCCATTGTTGCGACACATCTCTTTCGAACTGCAAAAGAGGCTGCATCTCTTCCACCAGCGATCTGCTTCGCGCTCGCGTATCAGACTTGTCGGACAAGAGGTCGAGAAGCGCCCGATGTAGTTCGAGAGAGGTTCGAGCCACGTCTCGAGCTTGAGCGTACGTGTCTTTTCCCGACTCTGTGCGTAGCGAAGGCGGCAAAGAATGTCGAAGCGCACCGAGGAGCGATGCAATTTCGATCTGTCTTAGAAAGACTTGAGCGATGGGACCCACCGCACGTTCGTCTGCCTGTCGTAACCAGACGAGGAACGAGACGATCGCTTGGGGAGTAGAGAAAGACGTCTCTGCTTCATGGCTGCGATGAGCGCTCCAAGAATCAGGGGTAGCGGTTGCTTGCCAACGGGACCGATTGTCGTCGCTTGATTCATCCAGGAGGGAGACGTGAAGCAGTCCTCGCAAGATGTCCAAAAGACGAGCAGCAAGACGTTCGAGAGTTTTGCGAGCTTGCTCGGCACTGATTGCCGCTTGAATTTCGAAAAGGTTCGAGATTGGCGTTGGCTCGTTGGAAGTGGAATGTGCTGAGTGATGATATGAAAGGCTCGGTGTGATCTGAGCTACGTCTGCAAGGTTCAAAGTCGATGCACAGCTCTACAAGTCTGACTCACCGCGCGCACTTTTGGAGCAAAGGACGATCCAAGCGTCCTCTTCTCTCACGCTCAAGAATCTCTCACAAGCGCCTCTCAACTCCTGCGCGAATTCTGCCTCAAGCTCTGTCCAGTCTTTTGCGATGGCTCTAGCAGCCGTCGTCTTGCTCAGCCATTCCTGCTCTCCATTCCCCATCGCGCTCACCTCTTCACTCGCTGACGTGTATGTATGCACGAAGGCTTGGACGTCGAGAGGTCCTTGCGAGAGGAGCGATCGAAGCGAGTCGATGGATTGACGTGCGCTGTGCAATGTCGACAGGGCTGTACGCAGAGCCCTGTTGCGCATCAGCTCGCCCTTTGCTCGTTCGTAATTCCTCTGAATCGCACTGGGTGCTGCCTAGCACGACGATGTTATGGAGAGGTGCGTCGGGTCGGGTCGGGTCGGGTCGGGTCAGGGCACAAGCTCGAGCAAGCTGCGCGCGCACAAATGGCAATTGGGGGGGGGGGGGGC